GGCAGCTGCCGGCACTGTTTGGCATTCCTTGGCTTGTAGATGCATCATTCCAGTCTCCGCCTCCATCATCAGCCGTATTACCTTGTGTGTATCTGTAATTTGTGTCTCTTGTCCTTTTCTTTTTTTTTGAGATAGAGTCTCACTGTGTCACCCAGTGTGGAGTGCAGTCACGCAGTCTCAGTTCACTGCAACCTCCATCTCCCAGGTTCAAGCAATTCTCCTGCCTCAGCCTCCCATGTAGTTGGGATTATAGGCGCCCACCACCATGCCTGGATAATTTTTGTATTTTTAGTAGAGACAGGGTTTCAGCATGTTGACCAGGCTGGTTTGAACTCCTGACCTCAGGTGATCCACCCGCCTTCGCCTCCCAAAGTGCTGGGATTACAGGTGTGAGCCCGCAAGCCCAGCTCTCCTCTTTTTCTAAGAAGGACACCAGTTGTATTGGATTTAGGGCCCACCCTAGTGCAGTGTGACCTCATCTTAACTTGATTACATCTGCAAAGACCCTACTTCCAAACCAGGTCACATTCACGGACACTAGGACTTAGGACTGCCACATATTTTTTGGGAAGACACAATTCAACCTGTAGCAGAGGCCATCTAAGAATTGTGCCTACCACAGACGATGACATCGATTCAGTGCATTTATTTATTTATTTATTTATTTATTTATTTATTTTGAGCCAGAGTCTCGCTCTGTCTCCCAGGCAGGAGTGCAGTGGTGTGATCTCGGCTCACTACAACCTCTGCCTCCAGGGTGCAAGTGATTCTCCTGCCTCAGCCTCCTGAGTAGCTGGGACTACAGATGCACGCCACCACACACGGCTAATTTTTGTAGAGACGGGATTTCACCATGGTGGCCAGACTGGTCTCGAACTCCTGACCTCAAGCAATCCTCCTACCTCGGCCTCCCAAAGTGCTGGGATTATAGGTGTGAGCCACCACACCCAGCCTGGTTCAGTGCTTTTCTAACTGGGACCCCCAGTGGAGCATGTCAGGGCTGCTTCAGGAGACGAGGCAAGGCTGAGTGGACAAGGCTCTGTGTTCCCTTGGGGTCCTCTGGGAACCACAGTTCTTGCTGGTGTGTCCCCCATTCACTGTTTTGCATGTGGCAGCTAAGATTTGACTTGGAAAGTAGGTCCTGCCATTCAACAGGAGCCTGAAATGAACACATCCCCTGTGCAGATGCTGTCTGCAGGCATTTGAGTATCTGTACATCATTCTAGACTTTTGCGGCGATATGACTGCTTTCTAAGCAGTCAGAAAGCCTTTATCAAGCTCCCAAACAATATTTCCTGGCCCCCTGGGGACTGCTCCACGCCTTGATGAAGGCAGCATTTATGAAAAGTAAACGCCTCATAAATAATCAAATGGATTCCCAAGAATGCCAAGGCTTTGTCAGAATGGGTTTTAGAAGCATACTTGGTTTCCCCACACTCTCACCCCTTCCCCATGTGCCCAGTGACTAGAGAACTCTCAAGTGGACCAATCCTTATGGACAAGATGGTTGAAAGTTGTTCTCCTGTTTGTTCTACCTCTCAACTCCCAAAGTATTTTATGATTGCTATTATTATTATTGTTATTTTGAAATAGGGTCTCACTTTGTTGCCCAGGCTGGAGTATAGTGGTGCAATCGTACCGCCTCCTGGGTTCATGCCATTCTCCTGCCTCAGCCTCTTGAGTAGCTGGGACTACAGGCGCTTGCCACCATGCCTGGCCAATTTTTTTTTTGTATTTTTAGTAGAGACAGGGTTTCACTGTGTTAGCCAGGATGGTCTCGATCTCCTGACCTCATGATCTGCCTGC